AACATATTGACAAAAGGAGGACATTTTTTATTGTTGGTATGGAAATACAATAACCAACTTTAAACAGAGATGTACTTTGTGATTGCGAAATATTTTGTGCTTTTGAATAAATGACAACATACTGACTCCGTTGGTAGTTTTTATTGCATTTATTAGCCATTGAAGGTCGCAAAAATATCATGTACATGAGATCAAGTCAAGACTATAGTTTTATCCCAATATTAACTTCTTGTTTATTGCACTGTTTGATATAATTAATATTACATTTCCAATCACGGAGATGTTCGGGAAAATAGCACTCTTGCTTGTGTGATATTGCTTAACTATTTCATATGTTATTAATATAAAAAGTTACAAACCACTCAAGGGGTTAATTTCTGACTTTGATACAGTGTTATAAGTGCACTTTATGTTTTATGGTTATACAAAACATCACTTACTGCTAAAATGAACCATTAATAAACAATGTTTGTGGCAACTTTATCATGGATAAATATAAACTGAACACGACAGTTTCACTGAACAAGTCTAACTGATGTTCCTACTAACAAATGGACACAATTTATAGAAACATATTAACATCTTTATTTACCAGTATATATTTTTTAACCAATCAGCTTTAAAATTATCTGAGGTTATAATACAATAAAATATTTTTTCATAATAGAAAACACTTAATGGTTTGTGTACAAATGTTTCTAAATATCAGTGAAACCTGAACCAAAAAGTGAAAATTCATCATTAAAATGTAATATTGGTGCAAAGAGTGATTAAAGGTAAATACCAAAACAACAAGAACACTGTACTGATGGTCTGTACGTCATTAAGAAAACTAACCATTTCTGTTAATTACTTCACTGAGTGAAAACCAAGTCACACCAACTACATGGATAAAATGACTAAGTTGAACTCCTCCTGAAATTAATTGAAGGGTTTGACGATTTTCATGGAAATGTAGTTCTGAAAAACAACAAACAAAAAAATTGATTAGCGTTGTACACCTTACATCTCAAGCGTAAAGTCTCAACAGGATTGATAAAGTGCATCCTTACGGGTAATGAATACAACAAGATCCCAATGAATAATAACACTAAGATCAGCACAACCAAGCCGATGAACAGCCACTTAAATCTTCGCCACACTATGAACTTGCACGTCTTGCATGGATTTGTAAACCAAAAAAACGAGGTTTCAGGTCGCCTGAGAAGTTGAAAAGAGAAACATATCTTGTGATGATCTTCGGTTAACAAATAATACAGTAAAAATATATAACGTGAGAACACAATTACTTGGGAGGATCCAGTTTCGGATTCATATTGGGCTCATCTCTGCCTTTTCCGGCAGGTCTCTCATCCGCTTCCTTCTCATTCACAATCTCCAAAGTCAACTCAACCTTTCCCTGCAACCAACCCATAAACAAGCCCTAATTAATCAAACTTGTAGAAAAAAAAAAAAAAAGTCAAGATGAAATAACATTCATAACCCATTTTACCAAAATTTTATGCATTTGCAAGTGAAACATATTTAATGTAGAGAAGGTTTGACTGTATCTATCGCTTTGTATCATGAAAATCAAATGTCATACCGCATCATACAGAAATACATTAAATCTGGGGGGAAAAAAGACTGTGTTAGCTGTACTTACCCCGAGTTCCCTCTTCCCATCTTTATCCATGTAGCATGGCCACCATCCTCTAACTGACTTCTGGTCAAAAAGAGATTTAAATTGGTCTGATTTTGGAGGTGTAGTTCCATC